GTACCGGGCCTGATTAGCTGCGGTGACAGCCTCGTGCTTGAGAACTCACTTTCCCCAATCATCATGGAGGAGTAAAGTTTGGATGGGAGAACATCCCAACATCCGTCATTCTTGTAACGATGGTCAGTCACTAAGTGTGAGGAAGAGGTTGGCCGAGTGTGAGGCAGGGGTTTCATCTGAGTGTGAGGCAGGGGTTGACAGAGTGTGAGGCAGGGGTTGACCGAGTGTGAGACAGGGGTTGCCAGAGTGTGAGGCAGGGGTTGACCGAGTGTGAGACAGGGGTTGACAGAGTGTGAGCCAGGGGTTGACAGAGTGTGAGGCAGGGGTTGACCGAGTGTGAGACAGGGGTTGCCAGAGTGTGAGGCAGGGGTTGACCGAGTGTGAGACAGGGGTTGACAGAGTGTGAGCCAGGGGTTGACAGAGTGTGAGGCAGGGGTTGACCGAGTGTGAGGCAGGGGTTGACAGAGTGTGAGGCAGGGGTTGACAGAGTGTGAGGCAGGGGTTGACGGAGTGTGAGGCAGAGGTTGCATCTGAGCAGAGCAGCTACGAGGGAGGTGGAATGTGTGAGGTTAGAGTGTTGTTTAGCATGTTGAATGTACATGTAGGTCATACGTATCTCCACGGGAGAGACAGAGCACACGAATAGAGGGACAAGTGTGTGTGTGGGGGGGGGGGGTGAGCGTGAAGCCGCTTACCTCCAGGGTCACCTGTTCCTGCCGTGTCTTGTCCAAACCAGAGCAGGCATAGATCTCCAAACTCCAGACGGACCATAAACGAATTACTTGTAGGAAAATTAATGCTTTGAGTACACTGCAAAACCGCAGATGTGTGTGCCTGTTATGGGGTGGGGGGGGGGGATAGACGTGCTAGTTTTGTTATGTTCTCTACCCGCTGTGCATGTAAATGAAGTGGTAGATTTCTCACAGTAGAAAAGTATGCCATGGTGCAATCATGCTATGGTGCAATGGTGGTTTTAGAATTGTGTGATGCTGAACACTTTGTAGGGAATCCGAGAGAGCGGATATGCAAAACAAGCTAGAGTGGTGGAAAGAAATATGTCCTTGTTCATCCGTGCCGCAAAGAGTGCAACGTGATGAGTTGATATTGACTCAAACAGTAGCCACTGCCACTCTCAAGCTCTTGTTCAATTTTGTAACGACAACTTGGGGCCTAACATGGTTCTATAATGTTAATCTCATACCCCCCCTCTCTCTCCATTCTTTCTTCCTTTCTCACTTTCAGAGTGGTACTTTGGTCAAGTGTACTTGTTCATTTTTGAATTGTTGAATTCTTCAAGTAACTGAATTAGCATGTCAAGTGCTCAAGCACTAGATGAACAATCAGAGACAAACACGATATCAGGGGACACATATAACTCATGTGCATCCTTGGGAGAATGCTCCTCTCAAGGAGCCGGGCCTGATTTGGTGTTCACGGTTAGGCAGTGCACAGCACCAGCAACATAGCCACCCCTATCGAGCCGCGGTACGTGTACGCGTATGTGTATGTGTATTGTACCGAGCTAATGAAGATGAGTGCAAGCGCGTGTGTTTTGCATGTGCCGCTAGTCATACTGAAAACGCTGAAAGCACTTCATAAGCCGGCAGGTAACAGCAGCGCGTTTGATGTGGTGTGAGAATCTGATTGTGCCTGGCGTCGTCTTGTGATGGGTATTTTAGCTATAATGGCGCGTCTGATTAGGCTGATGGCGATGACATGGAGAATCATGATCTGAAGATAATTTTTTGAAAATTCCCCAGCTTGGGATTCTCCTGTATGAACAGATACAGTTTAGCTTGGGTTTCTCCTGTATGAACAGATACAGTTTAGCTTGGGTTTCTCCTGTATGAACAGATACAATTTGAGTTGAAGTGATTGTACTTTTGATTGATACTGCTATCTAGCCTGAGGTGGAATTCCTCCCCCCCCCCCTCCTCCGAACACACACACACATTTCTCACTCACCTTTTTCTGGATGCTGTTAAGATGTGTATGCTCACAAATAATACTTGTGTTAGTGTGGTCTGCCTCCTCTCTCTGTCTCTGTCTCTGTCTCTCTCTCTCTCTCTCTCTCTCTCTCTCTCTCTCTCTCTCTCTCTCTCTCTCTCTCTCTCTCTCTCTATCTCTCTCTCTCTCTCTCTCTCTCTCTCTCTCTCTCTCTCTCTCTCTCTCTCTCTCTCTCTCTCTCTCTCTCTCTCTCTCTCTCTCTCTCTCTCTCTCTGTCTCTCTGTCTCTCTCTCTGTCTCTCTTTCTCTGTCTCTCTCCCTCTCTCTCTCTCTCTTTTCTCTCTCTCTCTCTCTCTCTCTCTCTCTCTCTCTCTCTCTCTCTCTCTCTCTCTCTCTCTCTCTCTCTCTCTCTCTCCACTCTCTCTCTCTCTCCACTTTTCTGAGGTACTGTATGTGGGGCTCCGTTTATTGAGGTGCGTTGAAATTTATTCTCTTTATCTTATTATTTCTTTTCTATAATTTCCCCATATGAGTTCCTATCAGTTGCTGTGAACACCTTGAGTGGAGAGCGCTTGCTCGAGCGTTGAACCGGGTTCTTAATCCACCATACCCAGTTCGCAAGGCTGGGCGGGGTTGTGAGCAGGCTTTCATTTCATCTTTTCTTATCATTTCTTATTATTTCTGCTTTTCATCTCATTACAAAAATTCTGCGCTTTTTCTCCATCTGCGCATAAAATCTAGACTGACAACCTGCTTGTTAAATCATGCACCTGCTTTCAGGCGTAAAAACCCTGTTGTAGAGGTCTCAGTCCTCATTTGCTAGACTTACCTGTCTTTATAAATGTAACTTACTCTCTCCCCCCCCCCCACACACACACCCCTCTCCTCCATCACCACCAACAGCACTGACCAGGGTTGTAGATGGGTGTCCATCATTTCAATAATGCAGAACTGAAGATGGTCAACGCAGAGTCCACCCTGCTCTCCTCCTGTCCCGAACGCTCATGTTCATGCATTTGCTATACATGTATATGGCTGGCAGTAAAAAAATGCAATTGTCTCCCTCGCCCCCCCCCCCCCCCCCCCCAGTAGCTTTGGCCACTGCATCCCATGTTCGTGTTTGGACTAAATTTGAATACTGTGTATGTAAAGTATGGGTATCAGTCTGCCATCGTTGCATGCAGTCCTATCATTCTTGCTACTGTGTGTACTGTTGTATGGGACTATCATGTGTCCCCCCAACCCCCGTGAATGTGACATAGTTGTGGTTTACCCAACATTGGGTGCTGGCTCCATAGCTAAGTGATGGTAATCCAATGTCTTGTGCATGCATCACTTCTTAGTGTAGCTACATGTAGGTGAATGCTACTGTGTGTGTGTGTGTGTATGTGTGTGTGTGTGTGTGTGTGTGTGTGTGTGTGTGTGTGTGTATGCATGCGTGTGTGTAAGGTGCATGTGTGTGTGTAAGGTGTGTGTGTATGCGTGTAACTTGTAGTTCCGGAATTCCTTGGTCCTTTTTTCTTTTCTATAAATGTATCCTCCGCTGTCCATTGGAGTCCAGTACAGTTATAAGAATGAGTTTGTGGTACTAGTACTAGTACTTGCCATACGCATGCAGTACACGTAAGAGCTGTCACTGACTGTATGATGTATCACCAGAGTACACCTATCAATGTGTTCATGCTGGGGCAAAGTGGCTGGTGTCACATGACACAGTACAATGTGAAGTGGGCTGTGTCAGTATCCTCATCATCCTCATGATCATCATGATCATCACCCTTATGCCTCAGCTATGCCTTATGCTGTTATGGGCTAGTTTTCAGGCCATGAAAGTGCATGACCCAAATGTACGTGTCTCAATGTGCCTATTTAAAGGCTGAAACCACACAATGTAGAAAATTTGAGTTTGCCTTTGCGTACTGCGTTTGTAACTGCATGCATGTACCTGCGCTGCCCTTGCTTGAGGCCGTGGTGTACATGTACTTGAGCTACTCAAAGTACAATCAGTCATGTACATGTACGCAGCGCAGTCCGCCGTCCGCAGTCCCCAGTCCGCAGAAAGTTTCATAAATAAAAAGATTTCCGACGATCGTAAGATGTACATTGTACTAGTAGCTGGAAAGCAGCATGTGCGTTTGTGTGTAACCATGGAAACGATGGTGATCATGTGCGGTTCTGTGTAACCATGGAAACGATGGTGATCATGTGCGTTTCTGCGCAAGACTCTGCCCCAACGTGGTTGCTTCACTTTACAATTTACATCTTTGCCAGCCATCATCCGGACTAATCTGTGCTCGCTGAGTTGCTCTGCTGTGGCGTGTGAAATGGAGGGAGCACAAACCGACTCGACATGGCCACCACCATCTCCATGGTGGCCAGGGGGGGGGGGAGAGTAGCTGGTCCTCCCTGTTAGGGGGGTGGGTAGCTGGTCCCCCTGTTAGGGGGGTAGCTGGTCCCCCTGTTAGGGGGGTAGCTGCCCCCCCCCCCCTGTTAGGGGGTACACGGCTGCATACGTGTACTATGGCTGGTGCATGTCATTCATGTAGCACTATGTGCTTGCTGAGTCTAGGTTGAAATGTTTAGTGTGGTGCTCTCACTCCCTTGGCCAGCACTCCGCCGTACGGCAAGTTGCTGTGTGGTGTTTAGTTAATAGTCATTATGTGCATGCTGAACCTACATGTAGGTAAAAATGTTTAGGGTGGTGTCGTGCCCCATGCGGGTTATGCACCCAGTCGTTGATGAGTGTAACTGGAGGATAAAACTCAGGTGTGTAGCAACATGATCACCGTGATTCAGTGTCGTGCCCCATGTTGGCTATGCACCCAGTGGTTGATGAGTGTGTCTGGAGGATAAAACTCAGGTGTGTAGCAACATTATCACCATGATTCACTGTCGTGCTGTGTAATTGTGAGCGAATTTATACTTGTGATGTGCAGTGCAAGCCCTGACTGTTGTGTGCTCTTTCGTGTGTGTGTGTGTGTGTGTGCATGTGTCTCTGTGTCTCTGTGTGCCCGTGTCTGTGCATGTGTGTGTGTGCACGCTAAACTCACACAGTTTCACAAGCTCCCAGCCTCTCCTCTCTGAAGCGGACGGCGACGATGAGGTCAACGAGAATGATGAATATGACGCCGATGATGATGCTCCGGATGCCGTCCAGCGCTCATACACCTACGCATTCACCGTATCACTTGTTGCTAGTGGCAACGGATTCAAGCACCCGGCCATCGTTGTGTTCAAGACCAGGCGTCAGTCCACTGCTTCAGGCGCTGTTAGCCACAGTGGCAGTGGTGACGGCTGTGGTGGTTGCTGTGGTGATGGGGATGCTACCGGGGTAGCCACGGCGACGACGGCTGCCATGACAACGGAACAGACGCACAGCGAGGAGCACGGCGAAGATCAGGAATGCTTGCAGGGTGTCGAGCACTTGAGGTGAGATCTTGTTTGAATCATAATAATAATTATTATTATTATTCTGTCCCGTGCACAGTAGAATCCTATCTGGGTACGTTGGTACCGAAGAGTACCTGACGTGCATCTCAGAATTGTCTGCAACTCGGAACTACACTGCAAGAACAGTGGACATAGCACATCATTATTTTCTTCTGTTTAGCTAACTGGCACTGGTCCCAGACTGATACCGACAACATGCCAGCCATACAACACTGTCGGTTGCTGAAGAACTGTGGGGGGGGGGGGGGGGGGAGGGGGAGGGGGTCAGCTTCCTAGCCTAGACTGTTCTTTCATGTACTACACAGACATGTAGCACCGCTGTTGGAGGTGGTCCGGCTGGAAGGGGGTCGGGGCGTTGTCCCTCGGAAAATTTGAAATTCTGGGGCAAAATGCTGCATTCTGGGCACTTCTGGGCGAAAAAGTAGTCCTGCCAAAGCGGTACCGGCCGGACCGGCTGATACGCCCCTGCTACAGTTTATGTATGTGTGCAAGAGTATGTACTTTAAAACCTGTAACTAAAGACCACCGTGACTAGCGACCAGCCTGCTACTACAGTAAAACCTGTAACTAAAGACCACCGTGACTAGCGACCAGCCTGCTACTACAGTAAAACCTGTAACTAAAGACCACCGTGACTAGCGACCAGCCTGCTACTACAGTAAAACCTGTAACTAAAGACCACCGTGACTAGCGACCAGCCTGGTACTACAGTAAAACCTGTAACTAAAGACCACCGTGACTAACAACCAGCCTGCTACTACAGTAAAACCTGTAACTAAAGACCACCGTGACTAGCGACCAGCCTGGTACTACAGTAAAACCTGTAACTAAAGACCACCGTGACTAGCGACCAGCCTGCTACTACAGTAAAACCTGTAACTAAAGACCACCGTGACTAGCGACCAGCCTGGTACTACAGTAAAACCTGTAACTAAAGACCACCGTGACTAGCGACCAGCCTGGTACTACAGTAAAACCTGTAACTAAAGACCACCGTGACTAGCGACCAGCCTGCTACTACAGTAAAACCTGTAACTAAAGACCACCGTGACTAGCGACCAGCCTGGTACTACAGTAAAACCTGTAACTAAAGACCACCGTGACTAGCGACCAGCCTGGTACTACAGTAAAACCTGTAACTAAAGACCACCGTGACTAGCGACCAGCCTGCTACTACAGTAAAACCTGTAACTAAAGACCACCGTGACTAGCGACCAGCCTGCTACTACAGTAAAACCTGTAACTAAAGACCACCGTGACTAGCGACCAGCCTGCTACTACAGTAAAACCTGTAACTAAAGACCACCGTGACTAGCGACCAGCCTGGTACTACAGTAAAACCTGTAACTAAAGACCACCGTGACTAACAACCAGCCTGCTACTACAGTAAAACCTGTAACTAAAGACCACCGTGACTAGCGACCAGCCTGGTACTACAGTAAAACCTGTAACTAAAGACCACCGTGACTAGCGACCAGCCTGCTACTACAGTAAAACCTGTAACTAAAGACCACCGTGACTAGCGACCAGCCTGGTACTACAGTAAAACCTGTAACTAAAGACCACCGTGACTAGCGACCAGCCTGGTACTACAGTAAAACCTGTAACTAAAGACCACCGTGACTAGCGACCAGCCTGCTACTACAGTAAAACCTGTAACTAAAGACCACCGTGACTAGCGACCAGCCTGGTACTACAGTAAAACCTGTAACTAAAGACCACCGTGACTAGCGACCAGCCTGGTACTACAGTAAAACCTGTAACTAAAGACCACCGTGACTAGCGACCAGCCTGCTACTACAGTAAAACCTGTAACTAAAGACCACCGTGACTAGCGACCAGCCTGCTACTACAGTAAAACCTGTAACTAAAGACCACCGTGACTAGCGACCAGCCTGCTACTACAGTAAAACCTGTAACTAAAGACCACCGTGACTAGCGACCAGCCTGCTACTACAGTAAAACCTGTAACTAAAGACCACCGTGACTAGCGACCAGCCTGGTACTACAGTAAAACCTGTAACTAAAGACCACCGTGACTAGCGACCAGCCTGGTACTACAGTAAAACCTGTAACTAAAGACCACCGTGACTAGCGACCAGCCTGCTACTACAGTAAAACCTGTAACTAAAGACCACCGTGACTAGCGACCAGCCTGCTACTACAGTAAAACCTGTAACTAAAGACCACCGTGACTAGCGACCAGCCTGCTACTACAGTAAAACCTGTAACTAAAGACCACCGTGACTAGCGACCAGCCTGCTACTACAGTAAAACCTGTAACTAAAGACCACCGTGACTAGCGACCAGCCTGGTACTACAGTAAAACCTGTAACTAAAGACCACCGTGACTAGCGACCAGCCTGCTACTACAGTAAAACCTGTAACTAAAGACCACCGTGACTAGCGACCAGCCTGGTACTACAGTAAAACCTGTAACTAAAGACCACCGTGACTAGCGACCAGCCTGGTACTACAGTAAAACCTGTAACTAAAGACCACCGTGACTAGCGACCAGCCTGGTACTACAGTACAACCTGTAACTAAAGACCACCGTGACTAGCGACCAGCCTGCTACTACAGTAAAACCTGTAACTAAAGACCACCGTGACTAGCGACCAGCCTGGTACTACAGTAAAACCTGTAACTAAAGACCACCGTGACTAGCGACCAGCCTGGTACTACAGTAAAACCTGTAACTAAAGACCACCGTGACTAGCGACCAGCCTGCTACTACAGTAAAACCTGTAACTAAAGACCACCGTGACTAGCGACCAGCCTGCTACTACAGTAAAACCTGTAACTAAAGACCACCGTGACTAGCGACCAGCCTGGTACTACAGTAAAACCTGTAACTAAAGACCACCGTGACTAGCGACCAGCCTGCTACTACAGTAAAACCTGTAACTAAAGACCACCGTGACTAGCGACCAGCCTGCTACTACAGTAAAACCTGTAACTAAAGACCACCGTGACTAGCGACCAGCCTGGTACTACAGTAAAACCTGTAACTAAAGACCACCGTGACTAGCGACCAGCCTGCTACTACAGTAAAACCTGTAACTAAAGACCACCGTGACTAGCGACCAGCCTGCTACTACAGTAAAACCTGTAACTAAAGACCACCGTGACTAGCGACCAGCCTGGTACTACAGTAAAACCTGTAACTAAAGACCACCGTGACTAGCGACCAGCCTGGTACTACAGTAAAACCTGTAACTAAAGACCACCGTGACTAGCGACCAGCCTGGTACTACAGTAAAACCTGTAACTAAAGACCACCGAGACTAGCGACCAGACTGGTTCTACATACCACTTTGCCAGGCACGGACGGCCCCACATTCATAATAACTATGGTTACGCGGTGCAACCTTTAACTAAGAACCACCTGCCACTACTACCGCTTTCTGTGGCCCCAAGGGGTGGTCGTTAGTCACAGGTTTTAGTGTATATAGTAATCCCCAGAATGTGCAACTCTGATCTCCAAGCTATGCATGCCCTGAGTAGTGCACTGCCTTCATTGTGTATGGAAATGGCCATCAAGCCGCCCGGATTTGAGTTTTCCTGCGGTTTAGCCTAACGATTTCACTTGCAAAACGGTAAATTTTTAGGCAATGCCTGTGCGTGATACATCACGTACAAAACCATCCGAAGTCTCCGAGGAAAGCGGTTTTGGAATCAGGAAACTGTAGCAGAACAATAATGGTGCAATGGCTCAAAGCTTGTGGCTACGTAATATGGGAAAGGCGCTGTGTCACACCCCATATGCAGAGGCCAAATTCTTTGGGTTATGTACTCTTGGCGTGGGCTTGCATGGAGACACTGCCACTGATACTCAATTCTGTGGGCTTGCATGGAGATATTGCCAATGATACTGAATTCTATGGGCTTGCATGGAGATATTGCCATTGATACTCAATTCTGTGGGCTTGCATGGAGATATTGCCATTGATACTCAATTCGGTCATATAAATACCTGCTAATTGAATTTTGGATGGGCGTGCATGCATGGGTGCTTGCGAGCATGTGTGTCTGTATCTGTTTGCTCGTGTGCATGCCTTTGTCTGTATTTCTGCTGTAGGCCTGCAGGTAATGTCCGCGTATTCAGTTCCGAGAGTGGAGGGCTGACACCCACCATTCTAGATCTGATCATCAACTCTCTGGCGCAGCCACAGCAGCAAACCGTCTCCATGCCGGATACAGGTCGTCATGGCAACAAAATGGCCACCGCCGCAGGTATAGCCCCCGTAACTGCAGCCGCTGCCAGCTCCAGCGCCACGCCTGTAGTGACACTGCCTTCAGCATTGCTGAAGAAACACGCCGCACCGCCATCATCACCAGCAGCACCAGCACAGCCAATGCAGCATATAGTCTACACCACTTCACCGTCACCCGCAGCAACAGCACAACCTGTACAGCGTATGGTGTTTGCCGCGACACCCTCGCCAGGCAGGCGCACATCATCCGAGCGCCATTCCAGTTTCTCGTCCTCCACACCGTCACCACCTCTCAGCAACATCAGCGCCAGTACTCCCACAGCAGGCTATCCCAATACTTACCCACACGCACCAGCAATGGGAGCACCAACGGTACCACAAGCAGCAGGAGCCTTGCCTAGCATGTCAACCCTGGACTTCTGTTACTCGCCACGTTTGCTGATTGTGGACAGCAGTCGTGACCATACGACCGTGTCCTGTCGGCGCGCCGCCAGTAGGGGACATTTCGACATGTGTGTTATACCGGACGGGTGTGTGTCTGTATTGGATACAACCATACACGCCATCATACTCAAGCCGTTCAAGGAGGCTCTGCTACGTCACTGGGCGGCCATGACTCGTGGTTGTCGTGTGGGATTTGCCCGACAGCATGGTGAGTTTATCGACTGGTCAGTGTGCTGTGCAAGGAAAAGGAAACGTGTGAGCGCGGGCTAACAGAATCTGTTAGCGCGCACTCGCACATTAGAGGAAAGGTTCTAATGTGAGCAGTATTGGTCAAATCCATTCTTCATTCGCCTCATACCAATAGGTGGAGATATTTTGAGGTAGTCGTGACAGGTTTCCTGACCCTTGTGACTTCTCCCTATTTCCCCGTCTTTCTCTGCCTCCTTTGTTTATCTCTGTAACTGTCTTTTCTAAATCTTTCTATTCTGCTCTCGCCTGTGGTTTGTACATGTGTTGTGCATGCGTGCGTGTGTGCGTGCGTGTGTGTTTGTGTGTATGTGTATGTGTGTGTGTGTATGTGTGTCTTATGAACACTTCCCTCCAGAATCGGCCATGGTATCTCCCACAAGATTACACGCATCTGCAAGACCACCACCACATCCAGCAGCAGTAGCAGTAACAGCATTGCCAGACACCATCAGCCACCACCACAGCACTGACCGAAGCAGTATGGCATACAGCTGTGCTGCTCTAAGAGTACGGACACCTCACCAGCACCACCAAGATCATTCGCTAGCACCGTCCACTCGCAACCAGCCGGCCGTTCTGTCATCCGTACACCACACACCGGCATCTTCCATCAACAGCATCTATGCCTCAGTGAGCCACACTGCTGCTGCTGCTGCTGCTGCTTCTGCCGATGACGATGTTGATGTTGATGATGGCGATGATGGAACTGTGGAAACCGGTTATCATCATAGCTCATCAGCTAGCGAGTCTTCACCCGCCAGTATGGCAAACATGCTGGATCAGCATAGTGATCAGCACCGAGATGACCAACTCAGCGATGACATCAGCTGTAGGAAGAGTCGCAGCAATGGCAGCAGCAGCAGCTATGGTGGTGCAAGAAATAATCAACATGATGCAATGGACTCGTACGACGACGACGATGATAACGATGACGTAAGCGACAGTGACACATCCGTAATGAGCACAGCGGCACAAGTGGACGCCGAGGATTTAGCCGACGATGATGACGACATACGATCGAGTCGTCATGTACATGTGACAACCTCCATTTCCACCACTGTTGGTACTTCCAGCCGTGCCGCAACACCCGGTGGTCAACCACGCCATCGAGAGATGTACTTGCGTGCAGGGAAGCATGCAGACTCTCCTATGGAGAACACAGCCACGTCCAGGACAAACCGACGACGAGCAAATCATCCATCCCGCATCGAGTTGCGACCACCCCCACACTATCCTCAACAGCATCACCAGCAGCACCAACATCAGCATCAGCCGCGCCCGCAGCACTCGCCACACCCGCAGCACTCGCCGCACCCGCACCCCCATCAACAACAGGATCCACACCAGTACCCACCCCATCAACAACAACATCATCATCATCATCATCGTCATCATCATTATCCGCAAGGACACCGAGGACTATCAAGAGAGGGTCAATGGGAGAATGTAACCGTGTCTAGTGGTGTTTGTCCTGTGAGTGGAGTTTACAACACTACATGTGTCCCTGTCTCACCAGTGCTCAGTCCGGCGGCTAGCTCACACACCCTAGCCAGCGGCAGCACCCACATACTGGAGAGCTCACCGCACACACTAGCCAGCGCCGGTAGCGTAGCCGCTACGCCGTCAAGTCCATACAGAAGCACCAGTGGCATGCTGTCACCTGGTTACAGCCTAGTTACCATGACAACTCTACCCGGCAACGCGCCTAGCAACGCAAGCGGTGGTGATGTGCGTGGCTCTACACTCACCACTGTACACAACACAACGATGGACAATGTTAGTGGTGGGGACGGAGATAGAGCAGGCATGATGACAATGACCTCGCCATCTTCACACACTAGAAGACGGAGGGAGAGTGCAGATCACTATGCACCGGTCACCTCACCAAGGTACCTGCCTCACTCCGTAGATGCTATTCTGCACAGTGAACGGCAAGCAACAGCAGCCACCGCAGCAGCAGCAGCAGCAGGAGCAAGTAATGCTGCTATGCACACATGCATGCCCCCACAGCAGCATCGACAGCAACAACCACAACCGCAGCAGCAGCAGCATATGCATCAGGCCAGACATTTAAGCGGCCCTGTCCCGGTCGCGGGCCGTGGCAATATGGTTGTAATATTACAACCGGCCCCAGCGCAGCAGCCCTTGCAGCCCTTGCAGCAGCAGCGAGTACCCACAGTACTCATGTCACCCACCTCAGCTCCACCGCGTGCAGTACACCCGGAGTTTGTTATGACAACATCATCGGCACCAAGAGAGGTCGTCACTGCACCCGACTCACACATGGTGTCTCCAACACCGCCGAGTATGCAAGCTATCTGCGACATGGTGTCGCGTGCGTGGAGCGACGTCAGCAGTGAGCATATAAGGTCCGCGTTCACTTCGTGTGGCATCACAAGTGCATGCTCGATGCCTACCCCCAACACGCGGGGAACAGCCGGGTCGATGGGTCTCGCCGCAGCTCCCTATGGTTTCCATGGCAGCGGGGATGCTGCTCGCGGACTGAAGATGGATCAGCGACAGCAGCGTCATGTGACACAGCCACAGCTGTTGCTGCCGGCAACCAATGCCCATGCCGCTGCTGCTGCCACCTCTTGTCACCAGCACTACGGGTTTTCGGCGGCGGCACACGACGGTATGCCCCGGCTTGTCACCACAAGCATGCTACGCCCTGATCACCCGTATGCACCGCTGCCACCGTCAGGGATCAACTCCACATACCGTGCGGTGGCCGTGGGTGGAAGTCGTATGGCCGGCCCGCCAGCAATCGCAGGCCACCGCAGTGCAGCTGGTATGACCAGTGGTGGCAGTGGCAGTAGCAGCAACGCTCTTTCACAGCATACCTGTGCTGTTGGCAATGCAGCGGTGGCGGCGGTGGCGGCCGAGGCTGCAATGGCGGCCGAGGCTGCAATGGCGGCCGAGGCTGCAATGGCTGGTGGCAAGCACCTCAACTTGTCCTTCTCTAGTGACATGCTGGATGAGTTGCTGTTGTCACCATGGGCATGAAAAGAGATTGAGTGTCTGCCTGACCGTACGCAGTCTGTACAGAAGCCGTCTTCAAACAACAAGACAGGTGTGTGTACAATGAGAACACTTGACTGAATCCACCCCCCCCCCTCCCCTCCCTCCCCTTGAACTTGATAATATTCTAGTCTTCCCTCACTCCCTCGCTTCCCTACCCTGGACTTGATAAAACCTACGCCCATGCTTCCTGCCATAGACTCAATCAGGTCTGCCCCTGCCTGAATGTCTTCATCTGTAGATTTCTGCCCGCGTCCTTAGGGCAGTTCAGGCAGATATTGGCCACATCCAGTATTGAACTATTTCACCAGGGCCAGCGAAAATGTTTCCTCTCCTTTCCACATGTGTGCGTGTGTGCTAGTCAGTTTCTTCGTGTGTGTGCTTATCCATGTGTGTGTGGGCGTGTATATGATCTCGGCCTGGATAGGTGTGACAAATACACCAGCGCTGAGTAACGTGAGCGCCCCCAGTACATTCATGTAATATTTTTCATGACTTGACCTGGTGACTGTGTGTTAGGTGAGCTGTTTCAAATGTTCCTTTCTCTATCTATCCTAGTCTACTATCCTATTACAACTAATTTATGACCTGACTATGCTAACACATTGTGATTGAACTCAGCTAGTGTGACCTGAGGGGTGGTGGCGTTCGTACGGGTGCGCAAAACTCGGCCTCTCGCCGAGTCTGGCGCGAACCGTGAATTTTTTTTTTATTCTTTAGTGTGACTTGAAAGTTTGAATTCTGGCCACCCTTGGCAGCATGTCCAAGCCTGGTTCCGTTTCCGTCATTCCTTCTTTGCGAGTTGTAGAATAGTTTCTTCACCACCATTGTTCTTTTTTTACGTTGCACTCTTTGCCTCTTTCACGCTTCTCTATTTGATCTCACCCTGAGTATGGAACACATATTCAATTGTGCAGTACACTGTATTGCAACCCAACAGTTGTGTTTTTAGAGTACGAACCAGAGCAGAGATTGATATAATTATTGGTGAAACTTCTTTCGTTTGTAGAAATGCTGCCTGACTTGTGATGGTGTGTGTTTGGCTTGCGTTGTGTGCACAGTTCGTTTGTGTGTCTGTGTGTGGGGGGGGGGGTGTTTGCTGGAGGGAGATGGAGTGAGTGTGTGTGTGAGTGTGTGAGTGTGTGTGTGTGTGTGTGTGTGTGTGTGTGTGTGTGTGTGTGTGTGTGTGTGTGGCTATCATCGCCTTCGGCGATGGGCTTTCCAAAGGTCCAAAGGTGTGTGTGTGTGTGTGTGTGTGTGTGTGTGTGTAAGGGGGAGGGGGGGGGGGGGCACACATGAACGATCAGAAGAACAGAACAGCATACCTGTTCCGTGCGTGTGGCTTTGTCTCCTCTCCGTTCTAACTTCTAATAATTCAAGTAGTTCTATGGTGTGGGATTCTACATTGAAGAGTTGCCTCTCCACTTCAGATCATGCCAGATGATTACAGAATGTAATCACTCATCACCCTCGTTGAACATATGTATAAGTGCATGCTATGCTTGATCACTTCCAACAAATAGTCAGTTGGCAGAGTGGTAAGTATGAGTAACTTGCAAACAGGAAACTTGAGTTCAAATCCAGGCAATGATGATGGACATGAGCATAAGAAAACAACGGCCTGTGGCCCGTGTGGGGTTAGTTTCTGCATAGCCGGGTGGGACCCGGTGCTGGGTGTTTGTGATAATGATGATGTTGAATTTTATGTTTTCATCAAGGTTAGAATGTGTTTGTGAGTGTTTGTCTCTTTCCATGCATGCAATGTGCTGTTGTTGTTGCTGGTGTGTCCGCTGTCTCTGTCTGGACTGCTGGTCGGATTACTCTTTTTTCCCATGATTTTCAGAGTTTGAACGAACAGAGCTTGTTTCTAGACCTAGAAGTCCTGCTCCCGCCTGGACAGTTATGCTTTCCCGATACCCCACCATCCACCCTTTTCAGACCTCTCAATATGTTGACATTCTCACTACAGTGTCCCTCATCACCAAACACACCAGCCGGCAAGGGAGCACCGCCAAGCACCGTAATTGACGGCAAACTTGCACACTCAGACGAACAAACGAGTTCCGTTCCACGTGACATGAACAACTCAGAATTCAATGCTGTTCATTGTTGGCATGAGCAACCACAGTAGCTTCATTAATCACCATGGCGGCACAAAGAGAGTTCAGGAATCAAACGGGAAAATCAGATCAAGGCGATTCAACTGCAGCGATGAGAACAAAATAGAGTTGGCGCAATCCAATGTAACTCGTCAACTCTCTCTCTCTCTCTCTCTCTCTCTCTCTCTCTCTCTCTCTCTCTCTCTCAAGAAACTCGGAATGCTATAATAACAAACGTATCTACTGTCGTGGACATTGAAGTCCAATGGGATGACCGGGGTCGGCGTACCGATCACTGCTTTTAGCGCGTACATGCACTGTAGCTCACAAACACTCTGTCAAGATGAACCAGCAGTGCTCACGGCTGCATGGCTAGCACCCCATGGCTAGCACCCCATGGCTAGCACCCCATGGCTAGCACCCCATGGCTAGCACCCCATGGCTAGCACCCCATGGCTAGCACCACATGGCTAGCACCCCATGGCTAGCACCCCATGGCTAGCACCCCATGGCTAGCACCCCATGGCTAGCACCCCATGGCTAGCACCCCATGGCTAGCACCCCATGGCTAGCACCCCATGGCTGCTTTTGAATTCTTTTAAAATGGATGTCAATGTCCACACTAGACTATCTGCTCCTAGGACATCTGTGATCAGCAGAGAGTATATCAGATGCATGCCAGCCTCAAAAAATTGTGATAAGCATCAATGATGGTATATGGCAGGGCAGAGATTTCAGCTTAGCAATCCAATCTATTGTACTGCATATTGATCCACTAAGGAGGGCGTACAAGCAAGATCTATGAAAACTCTAAAACTGAACAAGAGGAACACACTAGAGCACCAGTTATGCATTAGAGAGCCCACTGACTATTCCTGATCTGAAACAGTTAGATCAGTGTTTTTGAACATCTCAGTGACTGAGATTCCATGAAGTGTAGTCACAGTGCATAGCTCACAAGAATACACCACCTTCAGTGTATCAGTATATTATACAGCAACAGAGTGCAACCACTCACATTGTACTATGCTGGCAGGAGAGTAGAAAGAAGACTGGCTGGTGTGCCGGCTGATAGAGGTGTCGCAGGTGCTGCTGTGCACACCGTTTGAAGTCAGAGGCTCTAGTAGAATACACTGTGCCTGATGGTAGGACCTATAACAGCGGATGTCCCTTGCACACCACGCATCTCCTTTAGTCAACACATGCACGCGTGTATGCATGCAAACACCGACACAGAAACACAAACCAAGCACAACACAAACACACACACACACACACACACACGCACACACACACACATAAACACACACACACACGCACACAAATACAAACACAAACAAACACACACGCAGGTATTCGCATAGGAGCCTTGGTGCAAGATTGGTGAAATTGCAGTAATGCACAAAACCTGTCAACAATCCTTGCCTATATGTTTAATATCTCGAACACTGTCACCAAGTAAAGTCCTAACACATACCAATCGACACTACAGCAGCAGCAATGACATCATTAGCTACAACACCATTCACTGCCAGCAGCAGCAATGACATCATTAGCTACAACACCATTCACTGCCAGCAGCAGCAATGACATAAATTAGCTACAACACCATTCACTGCCAGCAGCAGCAATGACAGCATTGGCAACCCATTCACTGCCAGGAGCAGCAATGACAGCATTGGCTACAGCACCATTCACTGCCAGCAGCAGCAATGCCAGCATTGGCAACAACACCATTCACTGCCAGCAGCAGCAATGCCAGCATTGGCAACAACACCATTCACTGCCAGCAGCAGCAATGAAAGCATTGGCAACCCATTCACTGCCAGCAACAGCAATGACAGCATTGGCTACAGCACCATTCACTGCCCACAGCAGCAATGCCAGCATTGGCAACAACACCATTCACTGCCAGCAACAGCAATGCCAGCATTGGCAACAACACCATTCACTGCCAGCAGCAGCAATGATAGCATTGGCAGCAACACCATTCACTGCCAGCAACAGCAATGCCAGCATTGGCAACAACACCATTCACTGCCAGCAGCAGCAATGATAGCATTGGCAGCAACACCATTCGCTGCCAGCAGCAGCAATGCCAGCATTGGCAACAACACCATTCACTGCCAGCAGCAGCAATGACAGCATTGGCAACCCATTCACTGCCAGCAGCAGCAATGATAGCATTGGCAACAACACCATTCGCTGCCAGCAGCAGCAATGCCAGCATTGGCAACAACACCATTCACTGCCAGCAAAAGCAATGCCAGCATTGGCAACAACACCATTCACTGCCAGCAGCAGCAATGACAGCATTGGCAACAACACCATTCACTGCCAGCAACAGCAATGCCAGCATTGGCAACAACACCATTCACTGCCAGCAGCAGCAATGATAGCATTGGCAGCAACACCATTCGCTGCCAGCAGCAGCAATGCCAGCATTGGCAACAACACCATTCACTGCCAGCAGCAGCAATGACAGCATTGGCAACCCATTCACTGCCAGCAGCAGCAATGATAGCATTGGCAACAACACCATTCGCTGCCAGCAGCAGCAATGCCAGCATTGGCAACAACACCATTCACTGCCAGCAAAAGCAATGCCAGCATTGGCAACAACACCATTCACTGCCAGCAGCAGCAATGACAGCATTGGCAACAACACCATTCACTGCCAGCAGCAGCAATGACAGCATTGGCCACAACACCATTCACTGCCAGCAGCAGCAATGACAGCATTGGCTACAGCACCATTCACTGCCAGCAGCAGCAATGACAGCATTGGCTACAGCACCATTCACTGCCAGCAGCAGCAATGACAGCATTGGCTGCAGCACCATTCACTGCCAGCAGCAGCAATGACAGCATTGGCAACAACACCATTCACTGCCAGCAACAGCCATCACAGCATTGGCTACAAAAACATCCATCACAGCCTTGCCTATACTACAACGTCTTCAGCAGTGCCACGCCCTCCACCACCATGGAGGTCACTGCCAACAGCAGCAGCGGCAGCAGCAGCGGTAGCGATAGCAACATGTGAGAAAAGCAACATCCACACTAACAATCACAAGTATAGTTTTTGATTTTGAAATCAGATGGCATGACGGGGGGGGGATCACCGGGGATGACGGGGGGATGACTGAGGGGGGGGGGGGGGGTGATGACCGGGGGATGACTGAGGGGGGATGACCGTGGGATGACTGTGGGGGGGGGGGGGAGGGGTGACTGTGGGATGACTGAGGGGGGGGGGGATGACCGTGGGATGACTGTGGGGGGGGGGGGGGTGACTGTGGGATGACTGAGGGGGGGGGGGGATGACCGTGGGATGACTTAGGGGGGGGGGGGGGAGGTGATGACCGGGGATGACTGAGGGGGGGGGGGTGACCGTGGGATGACTGAGGGGGATGACCGTGGTATGACTGAGGGGGGGGGGGGATGATCGTGGGATGACTTAGGGGGGGGGGGGGGGGGAGATGGTGACCGGGGATGACCGTGGGATGACTGAGGAGGGGGGGGATGACTGGGGGGGGGGGTGACCGTGGGATGACTGAGGGGTGGGGGAGGGTGACCGTGGGATGACTGGGGGGGGGGGATGACCGTGGGATGATTGAGGGGGGGGGGGAGGATGACCGTGGTATGACCGGGGCAGGCGCCCTTACTGCTTTTAGCGCGTACAGTACACGCACTGTACTTCACTGTACTTCACTGTAGTTCACGAACAAGCTTTACAATTGGACCAGCAATGCTCATGGCTGCAAGGCCAGCGCACCGTGGCCACTTCATTTCTCATCGGATTTCAATGTTCGCAACAGTACAACATGTGGAATATTACGTTTAGCTCACCTAGGTGTCTGGATGCCACCCATAGCACACTGACATCCTCCTGGTAATATCGGTCTAGTTCTGAGGTACAGCAAAAACAACTGGAAGGAGAAAAAGAACACAAAACTGCATAGGGTAAGCAAGCATAATGTAAGGGTTTACGGCGCCAACCGCTCCCAATTACAAGTGTCACCGCTCCCAATTACAAGTGTCACCGCTCCCAATTACAAGTGTCACCGCTCCCAATTACAAGTGTCACCGCTCTCGGTACAGCAGCGGCAGCAGTACTGTACTGTATTTCCCCGATTAAAAGTCAAACTTTATTGTACGTCGCACCCCCATTATCACATTTGAGCCATATTGGACTAGGCACCAGGCTAATGGTGGTGAGAAGAAGAGCTCTGTGTCAGAATAACTATGCAGCCTAGAGAGCTCGTATGGGCGGGCGTATTTTTACCGCCATAGTGCCGGGGGTGTCTTTACCACCATATTAATCAACGATTGAGCAATATTGTTTTGATAAACTTGACTTCAGTAGTAAGTCATGCTCGATTGTAAGTCACACGCCTTTTTTACCCTTGCATTTTAGTGTGAAAAGTGTACGACTCATATTCGGGGGAAGCACGGTAGTTACAACTTGGGTGACAGCAGCACCCATAGCAATCCTGGGTTCCCACAGCAACACCCATAGCAACCCAGGATTCCTACAGCAACACCCATAGCAATCCTGGGTTCCCACAGCAACATCCATAGCAATCCTGGGTTCCCACAGCAACATCCATAGCAATCCTGGGTTCCCACAGCAACATCCATAGCAATCCTGGGTTCCCACAGCAACATCCATAGCAATCCTTGGTTCCTACCAGTGGCGGGTTAAGGGGGGGGGGGGGGGGGCGCGCCCCCCCCCCTCAAAAATTTCGACCTAGGTTTCGAAAAATAATAGGCAAGGCGCCGGGTCGAGCTAGACTAGGCTCGGGGCGCGCGCGGCCTGAAACGATTGTCCAAAAGCGGTTGCACGGTACGGTGCTCGAGCTGGTGTTGATTGTACACACTACAGACTACAGTACAGTGTACAGTCTACAGAGCTAGAGTAGAGTCTACGTACAGTGAGCATGCACGGCTACAGAAACACGGTGACCTGACTGTGTACTGACTACTGTTGTACAGTGTGATCCCTGCTGGGACGCGCTCGACGCGTCTTCAACGGTACAAACATCGAAGAAAAGTCTTCGATCGAGTCAACCAAAACACGATTCGAATGCCGAGGGCTCAGGCGATCATCCTCGTTCGAATCGTGTTTTGGTTGACTCGAAGGCTTTCTTCGATGTCTCAGGGACATCCCAAAAGGCCAAGCTCTAGCCAGCAGAGCCTGGAATTTTTGTAAAGCGTTCCTGTGGCGGCGCAACTCCTGCTGCCGCTCCAACAGGAAACAGTGGGAATGATGAAGTCGCTGTTATTCCAGTTGAACTTTCGGAGGGGACTGACAGTCACACTCCGCCAGACGTGGAAGAACCTGTTGTCAGCGAGCAGCCAGAACATGAAGAACAGCGCACAGTGACAAGTACCGCTGCCTATGTAAAGGATGCTTTGAGGGCGGTGAGAAATTGTTGGACTCACATAAATAATTGCAGTTTTGCGACCATTTGCATCCCGGTCTTGCGACCATTTGAACCACATGGAGGCCAGCCCCTGGCAACCAATGATGGTTGTAGTTAGGAGCTGCATTGCTTTCAACACAGTGCGTCCTCCGGCTTGGTAACATGCTGTCCGACCAATCAACATGTTATGCAACCTACAGTGGTGTGTCCAGGATTTGCCTGAGGGGGGGGGGGGGGGGTTGCGGCCGGGATTGGGTGGGGGTAGATGACATCGTGCTACTGTCCCAGGTAAGCCATTTTGAAAACCGATGTCAAGGAGCCGTAAATCTAACACACTACGAGCAGTATTTCTGTACACGCAGCAACATTGTACATTGTAAACTTCAAATTTGCCATTATGTGAGCCAATCAACTGCATGCAATGCGAGTCCAACAATTTCTCACCGCTCAAAGCATCCTTTACATAGGCAGCGGTACTATGTTCACTTGTCACTGTGCGCTGTTCTTCATGTTCTGGCTGCTCGCTGACAACAGGTGCTTCCACGTCTGGCGGAGTGTGACTGTCAGTCCGGTCCGAAAGTTCAACTGGAATAACAGCGACTTCATCACTCCCACTGTTTCCTGTTGGAGCGGCAGCAGGAGTTGCGCCACCACAGGAACGCTTTGCAAAAAATCCATCCAGGCTCTGCTGGCTAGAGCTTGGCCTTTTGGGATGTCGCTGAGACATCGAAGAAAAGTCTTCGAGTCAACCAAAACACGATTCGAACGAGGATGATCGCCTGAGCCCTTGGCATTCGAATCGTGTTTTGGTTGACTCGAAGACTTTTCTTCGATGTTTGTACGTTGAAGACGCGTCGAGCGCGTCTCAGCACTGGGATCACACTGTACAACAGTACAGTGTACACAGTCAGGTCACCGTGTTTCTATAGCCGTGCAACTGCATGCTCACTCTACTCTGTAGATTGTAGACTGTAGACTGTAGTGTGTACAATCAACACCATTATAATATATGTACCAGTGCCACCAGCTCGAGCACCGTACCGTGCAACCGCTTTTGGACGATCGTTTCAGGCCGCGCACGCGCCCCGATCCGAGCCTAGCTAGCCCTGTGCCCTGCCTTTTATTTTTCGAAACCTAGATCGAAACTTTTGAGGGGGGGGGGGGCGCCCCCTGCCCCCCCCCCCCCCCCCCCCCTAAACCTGCCACTGACCTAACAAGGCATACATAATAATCCTGATATCTACATGTATCTCCATACTCTACTAATATCTCCTCCCACATCTCTCTACCTCTCGTACATGTAAGTTACCTGGGCGGGGACAGTTTGACCCATGTGACAACCACTCGACAAGGTACATTGAAGTGCTTTTTTCGTTGTGTGTGTACATGTATGTATGTGCGTGTGTGTGTGTGTGTCTCGAATTTCGGAGAGACCCACGCGACCAGCTTGGGCAGTGAGCAAGTACATGTGTGTGCGTGCGTGTATGTGCATGTGCGCGTGCATGTGTGTGCATTGTGATTGCGTGCATGCTTGTGTGTCTGTGCGCATGTGTATATGCGTGTATTCTTACCTTGCGTCGCCGCTGTGTCATGGTCACTTGGTTTTTTGTTCGTCCGTAACACCATCACTGCATCACTCGCGACTCTCTTGTCAGCGTGGCGGCCATCACAACCCTCCCCGTATTCGCTTCATTCTCTCACAGCCACAATACAGGTCACTGATTATTACTCAGCGTTGTCTTAGTTACTTGAACTGCTCGCTACTAGCGTTCGCACCTGATACATGGCGTCCATCAGTGCACAGGTCGTCACTGTCAGACGGACAGCGAGAGAATACAGCGAGCCCATCAGTCTTCATTGCCATCGCTAGGGATATCCGTCGTCGTCAGAACACTGGATATTACTATCCTCACAAATGAATGAAAAAATAAATTTAATTTTCAGCCTGCGGCTGCCAAGCATGCTAGCATTGCTAAGCAGTACCGTATCGACTTGTTCTCCGAAATAAACCACGAAACTCCTGGGATAAGAGATTTCCAATCACGTCGTGACCATCGAGGAGCAGCATGTTTGCGAGCAACACTGCACACAGACAACGCATCAGAGCTCACAAGTCACATCAGATCAGGTGTGAGTGTCACCATTGCCACGAAGGATCGAGGATGGAAAACGGTGTGGATGGGAAAAAACAACCTGATGTCTCAGTGATGTCTGATGAACTACCATGAACTACAGACGGTAGTACAGAGCATGCATGAGCACTGACTCGACCAAACCTCAGAGTCAGAGTCAGAGTGAGTCTGTGTCCATGGCATGGCATGGCCGGCATGGTGTCACCATGATCGTCATTACTGTGTGCTCTCTACCAGGGAGTGGTAGAATACCGGTATTTTACCACTCCCTGCTTTCTAGTTTAGCACCATGACCATGCATGACGTTCAACTGCAGAGTAGAGCGTAGTCATGGTAGTCACTACGCAGTGCAGTGGTACTGTGATAGATCTACACAGTTCTGTTCAATGAAATCCGATCGCACGGCATGCATCAAGCCAAAGGTTGTGCCCTGCATGCAGCATCTCTACACATCCCAGTGTTCTCAGGTTTAGCCGGCTGCGTGCGTGCATGCACAGCATCCGGCGTGCATGGCATAAAAATTAACAATAACGTGCTGGATCGAATAGACCGATCCCCTTATTATTGTCTGGGTTCGAGCAAGGGGGCAACTCCGCAGTCGCGTGGGATCCTGCTGCACACACGCGACCAACCTCACCGCGGCTGTGCGTGACTTCTGGCATGCGAAGTGCAGAGCACACGAGATCTACATGCAGTGCAAGCCTGTCTACAAAAAAATGCCACAAGCTGCAAGGACTTTTGATTTGAGCTGTTTTGTTTTTGTTTAGACGTCTTCCTTTTTACGACTTCAGGATGCCTTCTCAGAACATTGCTGCGTTCCTCACTGTCAGAACAGGAGGACGAAGCAAACAAGTCATTTCACTCCTTTCCTCGTGTGGAGCCACAGCGGCCTGGAGCAAGGGGATCCAGGCTATTCCCCGTGAGGAAGGACGTAGTTTTAGGGTCACTCTGAATATTTGAGTTGCAGCGATCATTTCGATCCCGAAATCGAAATCGTTTTGCCCAGCTCTACAAGGACAGGATGAGTCCAGGAAACCAAACAGCTGTCCTACGGTACCAGGTTTGCTTTTCGCAAGAGAGTGGAGTCTGGACGCCCTGTTCCCCATGATCGCAAAACAGTATTTGCTGAGCCTAGTGCAGCTCGGTCATGGAAGTGCAGCGTCTGCATCACGAGCTCCCCATGCTCGCAAACCAGTATTTTGCTGAGAGGCAACGGCACTTTGAGTTGGAAAGGAACCTGGCTTAGTGCAGTTTGGTCCTGTAATGGAAGTGCAGCATCTGCATCAGGATTTGGCAGCAAGTAGAGCTCGTGTACAGAGTCTCGTGGAGCAGTTGGACGATGTGAGGACTGGGGTGAAGAAAGCCGAAAAACAGCTTACGTACAATAACATAAAGAAAGACTCTGAGCCGCTCCAGTTTCTGACTGGTTTGCCTTCAGGTGTTTGGACCGCTCTGTGGGACTTCTTTGAGCCTAGCCGAGAAAATGTACTGCGCCGCGCCAGATCTGCGAAGACGGAAGCTGAGGGACGGCGGATACAGTTGGAGGTGGCCGTAAATCGCCAATGAGCATGTAATGGAGGATCAGCTGCTACTGGCATTGATGTGTCTAAGCCTGGGCCGAATGGAACAGAAGCTGGCATGCGTGGCACAAGTTAACCAGCCGTTTCACGGTATATAGCTAGCTGAGCTGGAAAGATGTCTTGTTCCTCCGTTTGGGCATGATCCCCATCTGGGTGAGCTGGCGAGATGTTCAGTCATCAATGCCATGTACCGCAAGACATTCTGCAATGGGGATGAAACAGTTCTATTTTGCCATGCACTTAGGGTTCTCGCACCGGCACGGCACAACAAGACCTAACAGATCCTTGCGCTCTTATTTTCTCCCATGGTAACATTGCCGGTCACAACACCCGGTAGCCAGTCGCAGATGCAACCAAATCAACCAGGTTCTTTTTTTCCAATACTGAAACCAAAGGTATACCAATATTTGCATCGAATGCAGTGATGATTTCAATACTGTTCACTAGTACTATGCATTACCAGACTGGCATATAATCATGATAATATTATCCATTTCGCAATCACTGTCATTGCTTTCTTAGATCTCCAATCATCAATATCGGACCATAAACCGTCTACTAGTATCATCTTATATTCCTGCTACTATCCTCCTCTAACGATGAGCTTGAAGAAACGAAACAGCTGTCTAGAGGCGTAAATAATATCTGTCAACGGAAGTGTCCTTGCTGTGCTGGTGTGTTTATGCTTCGTGCATTAGTTCGGCCAAGAGCGCATGGTGGTGGCGGGTTGAGGATGTAGTACAGCGGAGTATGACCGAAAGCTCTGTCACGATGTATTTTATTAGGAAGGTATAGAAATGGAAAACAAAACCTGTATCTTCATCTTGGGCGTAAACAGCCCGTCTCACATTAAATATACTAGAAAATAGTTCACTCTGAACATGCAGTCTTCCTAAGAGAGAGGGGGGGGGGTATATTCATAGGTTCGAAAGAACCGCACACACACTTTGCTGCAGACAGCGGCAAGCTTTCGCCCTCGTGCTTCGATGAGGGAGCAATCCACTGCGCTACGCTTGCGATTAACAGCAAGCTTCAACTTTTCAAAGGTACGACTCATCACTGGCTCTGGGGTAATGTTCCTGGAACAAATACCCCATTGCCGACTGAGGGCCAGGAGCACGCAATCTGCCTTCCTGGGCGAGAAGTGTTCCAGCACAAGAAGCAGCACGAATACATGCTGACAAAGACCACCATCACCACCAGCCGGCACACAGCACACTGTTCTTCAAAAACCATCCACTCCATCCCCACCATCCACTCCATCCATGTGTTTGCACTGTCCTCCTCTAGCTCTTCACGCTCAACAAATACCACGCACTGCTCATGGTTTTTTTTTGCTTCCTCTGGGTTGGCTAGCCCTTCGACTTGACAAAACAGCGATCACCGCTGCACTGCTATCGTCACCTCATAGCAGTCGCTTCCACCAGTGGCTTTTCCTGTCTTTGCAAGGTGTCCAAGGATGGCTGCTGTTGTCACTACAGGCAAATCAGAAGTACTTTAGTGGCTGATGTCCAACCAGATCGTTCAGTGGAAAATCGATTTTTCCACTTCAGGGCTGCTGATCGCGATCGCGACTTGGTGACTTGGCAGCACCACAGTTACCTTCATAGAAGATGGCTCTGGAGAGGAAAAGGCAGACCAGAAAAAGGTTACTATTGTCTTCAGCACCGATCTCAAGGAGAAAGAAATACGGTCTGCTAAAGCCTAGGCACAAAATAAATCTCAAAACACGATTCACGATTCGAATATTTCAACAACAAAAAAACTCACCTCTGGAGTAACTCCTGTTCGTGGCCCGAGATCGTTCCCTCCCGCGCCTTGAAAAAATCCTACAGCTGCATCACAGTCCATGTCTTTCTCAGAGACTCTGCTCCTACCAGCAGGAGGTTCAGCACCGCTCGAAGCCATCGCAAACTACTTGAACTAAGCAGAAGACATTCCAAAACAAACCTGAAACACACTGTCAAAGATGCTGTCACGTTCAAAAATTAGCTCAATCGCGGGTGAGGTTGCCCCCGTGCTCGAACCCAGTATAATAAGGGGATCGGTCTATTATTATTTAGCACAGTACGTAACTTTATTCCACAATACATGTGTACACTGTTGGTCCAGTGCGAAGAGAACGTGCGAAGAGAACGTGCGAAGAGAACGTGCGAAGAGAACGTGCGAAGAGAACGTGCGAAGAGAACGTGCGAAGAGAACGTGCGAAGAAGACGTGCGAAGAGAACGTGCGAAGAGAACGTGCGAAGAGATACATGTACTTGTTCAAAGTATTAGTTGTTGCAGATGCAAGTAACAATAGATGTTTTCATATCAATAAAAAGAACAAATTCCTCCGTCATCACCGTACAACAAAGAAGTCATGTCACTGACGGAGGAATTTGCTATTTTTATTGCTAGTTGCTGGTTCCAACGAGGAACACACGCTTCTTGCCGAACTTGACACTTTTAACTGACTCACGACTGCCATCCAGAGCACACGAAGAGTACGTCGCACCTTCAAAAAAAACCTTCCACTCGGCAAACCTGCAAGAAAGCACCACTCCTTGCTCTATACACAATTTTCCCGGAATTCACTCCTCACCAGTTGAGTATACTATTATAAGACAGTGTTAGAGGTACTTTTCAGGCACAATGGGAGTGGTGATTTCTTGCAGGCTTGCCGAGTGGAAGGTGCGACGTGCTCCTGCCTCGTGTGCTCCAGATGGCAGTCGTGAGTCAGTCAAGTGTCAAGTCCGGCAAGAAGTGTGTGTTCTTCGTTGGAACAACCAGCGCCATGACTAATACCGCTGAAGTCGCAATTTCTAGGTTCGTATTGTTGTCCCTCACCCGGACGTGCGACTAGCTGTTGGAGGTGACAGCGTTGTGAATAGCTGCTAGCTCTCAACGTCTGTTTAGCACAACTCCATGAGCGACTCTGACTCACGCTGCTACCTGGGGCCTCACGAGGTGTTTGTCGCGCTGGAAACAAAGCGTCTCTGAAAGTTTGTATCCCTGGTGATGGTTTGGCCTGGAGAGCACTATATAAGTGGTGCTCTTCAGGCACAATCTTCCTCACCCTACTCAAGCTCAACTGATGAGGAAATTCACCGAAACACTGTGTATTGAGCAGGGAGTGGTGCTTTCTTGCAGACTTGCGGAGTGGAAGTGGCGACGTGCTCCGGCCTCGTGTGCTCCGGATGGCAGTCGTGAGTCAGTCAAGCGTCAAGTTCGGCAAGAAGCGTGTGTTTCTCGTTGGAACAACCAACTACTTCATGACTAATACCGCCGAAGTCGCAACTTCTAAGTTATTAGAAATTTAAAGATGTGATTATTGATTTATTAGTTTCACGGCAGGACGATCAATCACACACTGTTACGTTCTGCCGCCTGACGTCCGATAATACCTTGACGTGAAACTCAGATTTGCCATACATAATATACATGTAAGCTAGGATTTACCGGGTGTTAGCGGCCGTCGTGAGTTCCCTTCG